CGTCAGAAGTGACGGGTGGGCTCAGATGGTGGTGTCTGAGGCAATGCCCCTAACCTTGCATCCCATAATCAAATTTCAGCTCTATCTCAGAATTGGCCTGACAATTGGCCCTTGACTAATTCAAACACAGATTTGATTTAGGAGTGACTGAGGTGGGATCTTTGATAGACGGTTGAAGGTGTTTTTGCTCATCTGTAGGATGCCAGACACTAATGTTCTGGGGCTCGATTACCATTTTTCTTTTGATGAAAGTTAGGAAGATAAATTCCATGATGTTCATAAGAACAGTACAGTTTTATTTTAAGTCTTGATGTCCTTAAGAATATATATTTGCAGTATAAGTACCAAAAACCATCTCAATATATTTTTACAGCTCCTCTCTCAGGAGCTCTGCTGAGAACAGGTCGATTTTGGCCTGTCTAATTAATATTCATGAGCCTCTCTTCTGATTGGCCTGTTGTTTTCTGAGTGACGCACGGCCAGGCCAACCACAGGTAACTAGGGTCAGCCGACGTCACAGCGCTAGCTGGAGGCAGCAAAACAAAGGGGAAACTGGAGGCGACCCATTCAAACCAGCGCAGATTCGGCTACATAAGGAGCTTAAAATATCATCTTGTTGTGATGTTGGGTGCCAGAATCGACGTAATACAGCCTCAAATTGAAATTTGATCGCATATCTACTGCCACTGCCAGACAAAAAACCAATATGGAAGTTAAATAGCCCCTAGACCTCAGTTATCGTGAAAAAAGCCATGAAATTTCAGTTTTGACAATATGGGACCTTTAAAAAAATAAGTTCTCAAATGTTTTCCTAAGGAAACCTGATTGTATGGTGGTTCTTGTTGAAAGCTCGCTGATCAACTAAATGTAAAACACCTCAAGGCCATCTTTTTGCACTTCCTGCAGATTGCATAAAAATATGAAGCACACAACATATATTTTGATAGGAGTGCCTGTCCCAAGATGGAATGGTTTATTGAATTTATTTGTGAGATTCCTATTTGACTCATTTCGATAGTTGTTACTGAATTGCAAATTCAGCAAAAAGTCACATCAAGCATAATCATGACTAGAGATGCACAAAACTGAATTTCTCTGCCGATACCGATAGCCGATTATTCAGAATGATATCTGCCAATACCGATAGTTTGATTTTCTTAAGAAAAAAAAAAGCTCTGCTAACTGATGGAACCCTATCATTTGGCACATTACTATAGTATTAAGGGTTAAAATGAACAACACAGCTATTATATTTAACTGCTATTTATTTTCAGATATCATAGCTACACTCAAATAAAAATTGAAATGTCTTTACAGCTCATTTGCACTTAGTCTTCCAGATTTCTTCAAACATACATATATAGTTATAAGTAGGGATGCACCGATACTGGTATCGGTATCGGGCCCGATACTGGTCTCCTGTACTCGTACTCGTTAAAATGCCCCGATACCAAACGCTGATACCACACAGCATGTGATAAGCGCCATATTCAAACAAAGAAACACCGACAACAGAACAACAGACAGCAGAAAGGAGTTAAGGATGTCTACTACGAAGTATATGTATGCAATGAATATAATGTTAAACATTCAGTGTTAACGCCTGTATAGCTGGTGTGCGCGAGCTGATAAACAAAGCACGCTGAGTGGATCTGCGCCACCGCGCGCTTGTCGAGTGAATATATCTTTCTCACAGACATCACTGGAAAGTTTGTAGTTCGGTCGGATATGTCAAAAACAAGTAAGTAAAACAATGCACAAGTTACTTAACGGTAG